AATAATTTAACAGTTAAATTACTAGTTTAAAAAATATTATTAGCCCATTACTTAATATATTGCTTATATACTGTCTATTGCATACTAACAAAAAAAACTTTTTATTAACAGATGTCTCTTTTAATAACTATTTTCGCAATTGCTATCAATAAATTCAAAAATTGTATAAAATGATACAATAAATTAAATAACATATACTAGCAACTTAACTATACAAGACTTTCCTTTATTGACAAGCTTTGCTAGTCTGTTGCAATCACTATATGATAGCTGTTGCCTCTGCTTCACTCAGTTTAACTAAAGCATTGATGATTTTATTAAATATATTATTTATAATACCTAATCCTAACCCTAAACTAATAAAAAAAATTTTATTAAAATCCAACAATAATCGAATTGATTCAGTAAATAACAGAGTTAGCAAATTATTATATCTAATTTTTTTTTGAACATATATCCAATTTTAATTGAACATATGTTCAAAAAAAAAAATCAAATACAACTAGACATAGTCAGTAAATTACATACCAGCAACTTAACTATATAAGACTTTTCTTTATTGACTAGCTTCGCTGGTTCATTGCAATCACTATACTATAGCTGTTACTTTCACTTCGCTCAGTTTAACTAAAGCATTAACAACCTTATTAAATATATTATTTATAACACCTAACCCTAACTCTAAACTAATAAAAAAAGTTTATTAAAATCCAACAATAATCGAATTGATTCAGTAAATAACAGAGTTAGCAAATTACTATGTTTAATTTTTTTTTGGACATATATCCAATTTTAATTGAATATATTTCAAAAAAAAAAATTAAATACAACTAGAAATAGTATAGTAAATTACATACTAGCAACTTAACTATACAAGACTTCTCTTTATTGACCAGCTTTGCTGATCTATTGCAATCACTATGCTACAGCTGTTGTCTCCACTTCATTCAGTTTAACTAAAGCATTAAAATCCAACAATAATCAAATTGATTTAGTTAATAGTAGAGTTGGCAAATTATTATGTCTTATTGTGTTTAATTTTTTTTGGACATATATCTAAAAAAAATTGGATATATGTTCAAAAAAATCAAACACAATTAGACATAATAATTTGCTAACTCTAATTAATAATAGCTAGCTTTACACAGTTAATATCATAAAACAAGTTAAATTTGATTAATGCAATTAAAGCACTAAAGCTATACAATGTGAAATAATATATATATAATTTTCATACTAATTATTTGTTAAGACAATTTCATTTATTATGATCTATACTACTACAAACACTACAATAACATGAATTATTACTTGTTGTTTTTATTTTTTTATTCCTTTCAATTGCTGATTTAATTCACTTTTTTGTAGTTTGTCCTTTTCCAATATGTCGAAGCAGGTTCTGAACATCAAGGTATGTAGTTTTATAAACTTGAGTGTTTTCTAAAATTTGATTCCTTTCTATAAACTGATCTTCTTCTATAACCAGTTCTTGTTCTAAATTTTGATCATCTTCAGTAACTTGCTCATATTCTGAAACTTCATTATATCTGATGTTTAGTGGCATATTTATCTCTTTGTTGCATTGTATTTCTTCATGTTTATAAATTCATTCTTTAAACATTTTCATTAAACTGTCAGAATCATTGGAATCATTATAATCAACTAATTCTACACATTTATATGCAAGTCCAAGTAATGTTCCTTTAGTCAATTGCTTTCAACCAATCACTTTTGCAGCAGTTTGTTCAGGTGGTTCAATAAACATTGTATTTCATGATTCAGCAACAGTTGAAAATAAAGATATGTTTAATGAGTTTGATGTTAAATTGCTATATTCTTGTGACTTTCCTCTTATAAATTGTTCATCAATAACTAATGTATTCATAATTTCATCTTTATACTAACACTTTGGAATTAGAGAAATATGAAATAGTCCTTGTTCAGATTGTAAAAGAACATAGAACCAATAGTGGCAAACAACTCTATTTCCAAATAACAAGATACAAGTACATAAATAAAAGCCATTTTTTAGCAAAACAACATGTTGTCTAACACTAGACTTATATTCAATTGATTGAACTTCCCAAACTTCAGCTACTAAAGAATGATCAATTCCCTCAAGAAGCTCATTAAGTTGTATTTGACAAAAATCATATTCAAGTTTAATTGGCCCATTCTCTACTGTATCTAGTGCCAAATTATATAGATCTTTGAAAGTAATCTTTCTACAATTATACATAACAGCCTCATTCATTTAATCAACATGTAATTGTAAAATTTTGGATGTTACATATTTTTGTAAAATATTATATATATTTAGAAACAGTCTTCTATAAATATTTGGTGCTTCATATAATAATGTTTTTTCATGCCAAACTGAAAACTGCCCAGTAAATTGCTCTTCTGCAACATGTAATTTAATTTGTTTAAACAAAATATGTAACTAAGTCTTTTCATTTACATTTCATTTGATTATACTGTTTATTGACTCAGATCTTTGGATAGAAGTTATTTCTGCTGTAAAAACTTTACTAATAAATGCCTTTGCCCAAATTGTTTTATGTAGATCTAGTTGTCTAAGCATATATTCGGTTGATTCAGAAAAGTCAATCATTAGTTGTTTCCAGTATTTTTCAAATGCTTCTTTACATAAAACATTTTAGACATGGTAAAATGCTTTGAGAAAATCATCATAATAATTACTTAGGGCCTTAGATAATTGTTTTTCAATATTACATCCAATATGCCAAATACAGTGAACAAAGTAAGTATTTCGATATATTTCTGGAACAATACTCTCAAGACCTGGGTCTGCATTGATAATAAAAGCACCAGAGTAGACTTCTGTAGCATCAATTGTTTGCTCTAATAACTATTTGTAACTTTCACTTATTTCATCAGATAACACAGCCTGTGCAACTATTCTTGATTTAAAATTATTATCAACTACAACAAAAATGCTTAAAGGTAAGTTATAAGTATTTGTTGATGCCATATTATTATTTAAAATAATGTCTGCATAACATCACCAAAGTTCTCTTTGTTCAGGTGACATATAAAATACATCTTGTAATCTATTTGTTTCTGGGTCAATTAATAGTTGAACATACTAATCAGAATCCTTAGCACACTCTTTTTTGAGATGTTGAAGCAGTTTTGCAGCATTACCACTCTGCATTTCATGAATTCAGCGAAACTTATATATATAATTTTTTACATCATAATCTACTATAGTTGCTTCAGGGAACAACCCACAAAGCAATCTAATCTTAAAGAGGACATCAAGATCACAAAGCATATAATTTTCAATAAGACCTTTTATTTCTACAATAAGCTTTCAGTATTGAGTAGCAAAAATAGCATTTTCAGGAACCAAAGGATGGTTATGTTCAAGACATATAGATGTTAATTTAATTATTGTTTCATTATCAGATCCTTTACTTTTAGATGCATTAATAAGAAAAGGGCAATTGATTCTCTTTGATCCTTTATTTCTTTGCTTTTTAGAGGGAGCAGTCTTATGTGAAATATATTTTTCAGAACATTCACAATCCCATGTTCATTGATGCAGATTATGACTATTGTCTATTCGTTTCTTCCTCAAGACAAAGTTATTTTGCTTTGCATAATGCTCTAATGTTTCTTGACATTCTTCCCAAGTCTTAAAAGTCTTTCCATTATATAGTTCAACATGAACTTGAGATAAGTACCCTAACTGGTGACTACTTGTACTTGTTGAATTGTTCTCAGTAATACCTTCCAGTCCTCTAATAGTTTCATTTTCAATATCCAAACTTTCATTTGTTAGATCATAAGTACTCTTATTGAGTGAACTTTTATTTGTTAAAGAATAAGTGTCCTTATCAGGTAAACTTTTATATATTAAATCATAATTGTCCATATTATCAGATGCTAAACTTTCATATATTAGATTATAATTGTCCTTATTTAATAATGAGCTTTCATATGTTAAGTCATAAACATTTGCTTCAATTTCATTTAAGTAACTAGCAGATAAAATATTTTCTAAACTAGCAAAAGGCTTTCATACTATAATGTTTATAATAATAATAAAAAAAAAAAAAAACTCTAAAGAAAAAAAAAAGCAAATATATACTAATGTACTACGAGAGAAAAAAAACTGTGTTTTGTGAAAGCACAAGAGAAAAAAAACTCCTGGGTTGAATTGTATTTATTAAAAAAAAAAAAAAAAAAAGCAAGTAAAAAAAAAACTCTTGAAGAGAGAAAAAAATTTTACAACATACTATTATTGCACTAATGAGAGGAAGTAAAAAAAGTCAGTTTTGCAAATATTTTGTCAATTTATAATAAAAAAAAAGATCACTTGTGAACTAAAGTAAGAAAAATATATGCATTGCATGCATAATGTTAACCTAATAAATATCCTCAAAGTATCTCTAACTCTGATCCTAATACTGTAATTAAAATCACTTATTTAATTATTATTTATCACATCTTAAGTGACATATTTTAATATATTTATTTTTAGTATCATCCCTATATGTGACACTATTACGTAAGTTGCATTTAACTTAATTATAATATAAAATATAATATGAAATATATATGCTCCAAAATGTATAAATATTATATATGTTATATGTATAATATTTTATACAATAATTATTTAACCACTCAGATTGCAGCTTTCTTATTAATTTAGTTATTGGATCTGATCTTGTGATTCTGTGATCAGAAATAAATGATCTATAGCTCATTAGAATTGTCTTAGTAAGCTAATTCGAATAGTAATAATTTCATCAAATTCTGTTTAGTGATTCAAAAATTATAGTTATTTTGTAGGTTAATAGTAGTTTAAAAAAAACTGTTAGTTCTAAGTTGTGGCTAGTAAAAAAATGATGAAGAAGATATTAATAAGATAAGTACTAGGTTTTTAGTAAATTTTATAAAGGTAGAAATAGTATAATATAGTAATTAAACAGATAATCTTTGTGACTGAAAGTGTTAGATAACTATAGCATATTGCATAAAACTAGATCTATATATATAAAACATAAAGGCTCTAGTAAGTTTTTTGTTAAGAATAAAGTAGTCCTAAAAGTAATGACCAATATCAAAAACTTGAATGGATGTAGCTTTGAGATGTTCTTATTATATAGAAAGAATTGCATATGCAGAGGGTTTAAATAGACAAGACTTCTAGTTGGCTTGCAGGTATAGTAACTAGTATAAAACTTATATAGCAAAGTATAAGCAAACTATTTAAATTAGGTACCAAAAGTACATATGTAGTTAGTTGTAACTTTCAATACATAAGTAGCCCTTGGAGGCATGCTGTGTTTTATAATACTTGAATAAAAATATCATATTTTTAAAACAGAAACTTTAATTATAAAAAAAATAAAAAATAAAAATAAATTAAATATTATACAAAAAAATTAACAAATTTTTTAAAATTAATTTTTTATATAATTTAATTTAGAATATAATTAAAATTATTTATTTTTAAAACACAAAAATAATTATATTAATAAAATTTTGTAATGAAATTCTTTTTTTTCACTAAGATTAATGTTTATAATAATTACTAAGTATTATTTACAAATAATTTTTCAATAATTATTAATCTAAATTAGTAAATATTTTATTATAATATAGTTAAATATATATTATTTATAATAAAAATTTAAACTAATTTAAATTGCTAATTATTAAAAAAACTAAAATTTAAAAAATTTAACAGAATTTTGTTATATATTATTACTAATTACTAATAATAATATCTAACTAAAATGCTGTATAATAATAGTAATTTGGATATCCCAAAGTTCAAATCAATCTCTTTTCGATAATCATTTGAATCAAACTTTTCAAAAAGCTGAACTACAGAAAAACGATATAGTTAATATATTAAACTTTATAAAAACTTTTCCAAAGTACTGTACATGCATAGTTAAACATTGAAATAGAGTTAAAAAAGAAGTTGCAGCTTTGTGGTAATGGTTTAAATGCACTTTGGGACTATAGAAGAAGTAGTTGGTAAAAGCCAAAATTTTTTATAAAGTAAACAACAAAGTTGGATATATTAGTTCTATACAACTATAAAACCTACAAGGAACACCTATAAAGGTCAAGAACTTACAAAAGCT